CTTGGAAGGTAAAACACTGAAAGTGAAAAGGCCGCACTTTGTAAATGTAACATCAAGCAAAGTGCACGATTCTCACCGCGCGTATCCTGTGCAATGCAGCCTGTGATTGCCCTTGTAATTTGCTTCAACCTTTCTGAACTGTATGGAAGATTATTTTATGGTGTGTGTGTGTGTTTGTGTGGAATTGAAAGCAAGCAGAATACGACTGTTTCTAGAGCATCTGCGGTTAAAAACTAAACTAAGAATCGATTCAGAATCATCAAAGAGAGAATCGTGATGCATCTGATGCTGCAACAAGGCAGGTATGAGAACACTGGCAATTTCCAAAAGCCCGTATGCTTTCCTGTACTTCCCCATGGATTCATGACATCCAGTCAGTTGTCTGATACTGATAGAACATATTATCCTAGAAGAGTCTAATAACATTTCACTCATCTGTTTCACAGCGGTCAGAGATTTCAGATTTCTGTTTCATATGTGGTGGCTAATTGTGAAATCTATGATATTCCGTAGCAAATTGAAAATGAGTCCCGCCCGGCGCCCGATGTCAGAAGCAATTAGTTGGCATACAAGAACTCCCTATAATGCTGCGGTATGACGTATAGATCTGTTGAACAGCTGAGGCTTCTGGACAAGCATGCAAGTCTAGACTCAATCCTAGCAGAAACACCTTGCGGAAGGCAGACGCAAAATGTGTGGGGAAGCTATTTCTAGCTATTATTCTAGTGAATGAGAAACAGCCGCAGTGTTAACCGCCATTGGTGCTAAATAGCTAGAACTAGTAAATTCATTTTACAGGTTTCATAGAAAGAGAATGATGCGAGTCAAATCAGAGGCTGTATGAGTACTATAATGGTTGCGGTACAACGTAGCTCAATAGGAGAGGCAATGCAAACACAAAGACTTTAGAAAAAACATAATAATTGTGTAAAGCAGGGTGGGGCCGAGAGCTGTGGGAAAAGAGCGAGGCCGGTGGCGCGAGTGTTAAATGATCGTCACCTGTGCGTCTCGAGTACCACGGAGGAACTCCGGAAGGATAAAACAAGGAGTGACGACAGTGAAGAGAGAGGACCAGGCCTGCGACATTTATGTTTTTTTTTTTTTAGTTTATGCGGCAGTCGTCCATGAGGGTTGCCGCTGTATTTTTAACTTTATGTTTAAAGGGATAGTTTACTTTGAAATTAATTTTTGATATGTTTTAGCTTACCTCAAGGGCATCCAAGATGTAGGTGTCTTTGTTTCCACAGTATTTTCAATTTTGACATTTTTCAGTCAAACCGTTGTTGTCTATCAGTCATTTAATGGAGGCTAAGTGGGTCCACCAAAAAGCATGCACAGAGAAGTCCAAATGAAACATGATTTAATGACTCGTAAATGTAAGTACACATTGATGGCCTAAGACATGAAACGAGCGGTTTGTGTGAGAAAACGAACAGTATTTATATCGTTTTTACCTCGTGTAATCACAGTGACGTCCAAGTGATCTGAATCAGTTGTGCAATGTCCAACTGAACTGAACTGAATCAGTTCAATGTTACGCCGGAAGTGATCGCTTGCATGTAACGTCACTTAATATTTACACGGAGATTTCGGAAGTTTTACCTTTTACTAAACATATTTAGATATACCGAAATCGTCTTCCATTGCGGTTTCCCGTATATCTAAATATGAAGAGTTCAGATGCAAAAGCCTCTAAGTGCCATTTGAAATTTTCATCTAAAATGATAATTTTTATCAAGCTTGTATATTTAAGTTCAGTAATTTCACTTAAATGGCAATGATGATTACCTATTAATTGCCATTTAAGTGAAATTACTGAACTTAAATATACAAGCTTGATAAAAATGACCATTCTAGAAGAAAATTTCAAATGGCATTTAGAGGCTTTTGCATCTGAACTCTTCATATGTTTAGTGAAAGGTAAAACTTCCGAAATCTCTGTATAAACAAAGAGTGACGTAGGCACGCAAGCGATCACTTCCGGCGCATGTGCAGACCGAAGCGCCCGCGCCGTCATATCAGTTTGTCATGGCTATGATTACAAGAGGTAAAACGATATAAATACTGTTCGTTTTCTCACACAAACCGCTCGTTTCGTGTCTTAGGCCATCAGTGTGTACTTACATGTACGAGTCATTAAATCATGTTTCATTTGGACTTCTCTGTGCATGCTCTTTGAGGTGAACCCCCTTAGCCTCCTGTGTATGACTGATAGACAACAACGGTTTGACTGAAAAATGTCAAAATTGAAACTACTGTGGAAACAAAGACACCTACATCTTGGATGCCCTTGAGGTAAGCTAAAACATATCAAAAATGAATTTCAAAGTGAACTATCCCTTTAACATTCACCGTTTCCCGCCTCCTCTTTTCCTTGTCTACAAACCATTGTTCATTTCAATCATTTCAAGTCAAGCCTACAGTATATGCTTCGGTTTGTTTTCTTATTAAGTTTGAAAACCCAAATTTGAAAACACAAGGCCAAAATCAAGCTGCATTTCCACCGTCAGCCCCGCAAGCCCCGGGGTTTTTATATGCTTATGCTAGCATAAGTGTACAGTTGAACTCATAACCTTTCAAACCGCACTCCATTTAATAACATGCGCGAATGCTGGCCAGGGGCGGCAGGCCAATAGAGGGCGCTAGGCTAGGGCGCCGCCCTCCCTTGATGAGCCAGACCACAGTTTATGAGCCAAATGCAATAAATAAGTAAATACATAAATCATGTATACAAATTGTCAACATTAGTGTGTTTGAGATGTTAAATACACTCAGTATATGTGAAAAATAAAATAGCAATTCAAAATGTCTGGTTTTTCTACACTTCCCTTTCCTGAAGTGCACGTGATCAGCTCTGGGGCGCTGGAGAAATGCCCCAGGAAGGCGGGTCTCTGGAGCAGCTTAGCTTTTAAGCTTTTAAGATAAAAATGATTGACATAAACTGTAGCCAATCAGCGAGCCAATCGCCCCAAGCAAGCGCGCGGCCGCTCCCGAGCCCATGTGCACCACTAGTAAAGTCAGGACGAGTCTTATTTACTGTACATGTCGAATATTTGCTTGAAAAATCACTCAAAATTGTTTTGAGTAATACTTTTTTTTTTTTTTTTTAATCAGCTAATTAAGCAATCAAGTATATTGTTTGAGTTCAATTTCAAATGGAAAGTTTATGCAATATGTTTATTTTTGTGCAAGAATGCCTCAAACTTTTAATATTGCCATTAAATAATTACTTTTTCTCAGAGCACTGGTATCCTTAAATTGTATTTGGGTGGTTATTAAAATTAATTATAATAATAATTGTTAATTAAATAGCCTTTACAATAGGTTAAGAAATTCAAAAAAAATAAACCTCAACATGCAAGATGACAGAAAGTAATATTCAGAGGTTACACTTACAATAATCTCTTACAGTATCCTTAACAAGGCATGGAACCTTTAAAGGTTGTGAGCTGAAGAGTAATATTCAGATTTTTTAAGTGTTTTTAAGGGGTTTTTGATAGAGAGAAGGGTGGATGCTTGACGGATGTCTTGAGGAAGAGCATGCCACAATGCTAAAAGACCTGAGTCCCATGGTTACCAGACTTTTGAAAATGCCAAATATGACACAGCCCCACCTAAGATATTTTTCACCATCCGCCACTGATGCTGGCAGTTGAAACTTGCACTCTAGAAAGTTAAATCAGTGTCTGCGCTATTTTTCTACCAATAAAACCAATAAAAATGTATTTTAATCTTTTAAGCTAAAGTTGCGGCTCTCACAACCCCATCACACAAATGCTTGTCAATGTGGGCTTCTATTGATGTTGCAGTCTCTTTATTTTCCGCTTTTGACTGTGCAACTACGGGCAGTGTTGCCCCCTTGTGGAACAGCCGATTGAGCAAAACAAATTCAATGTGCATCATGTACGACCTGCGCAAACAAAGTAATTCATATTGGTAACAAAATAAAAAATTGTACACGCATACTATTCTGGTGACGGAATTTGCAACATGCACTATAAGAGGCTTTAAAGGGTTTTGTTACACACACACACACACACACACACACAAATCATAAATTACTCACCATGGTGTTGTTCCAATGTTGTTTCCCCTTCTTTAATTTATGGACCCAGAATGATCCCATTTGACTCATGTCATGTATTCCAAGTGTTCTGGGAGTATACGATATGATATGAAATTTAATGTATTATTTAACAAATAATTATAAATTCTCTGCACTGCTACGCGACGTGTGTATTCGTATGACTCTCTTAGCACAGCAGATCTCTTAAATTCGGTTAAATTGTACCATCTCAGTTGAGGTTCCAAGCGCTCCATATCGATGCAAAAATGTGACGTGTCACTGCAGATCACTGATTGGTCAAAGAGAATCGCCACTACCAGCATCATTATATTTGCGAAACGAGACACCAAAACCTGCTAACGACAACAGCCACCACAGTATCGTTTGTTCACACGACTTTTTTAAACGACTTGCTTTAAAGGACCGTCGCACGCACCTTTTTAAAAAAAATAAATGGCTGAATTGCGGTCAGTAGACTAGGTGCAGACGTTGGTAGCCGAGGGGTGGATGATGTCATTATTTTATTAATGATTCTTTAAAATAGAGTACTGCATTGTTCCACATGGACAAATGGTAGCAAACTGAAACTTAAAATTGTCATTACTATTCTTAAGCGACAAATAAAATCTCTTTACATAATTTTACAAATTAAGAAACAATACAAGTATAATTTGAGTGCATTCACAATTGAGTACTCACTCAAGTGAGTACAAAGTGCTTAAAATCCTTTTTTACAATTATATCAACATCCATGACCCAATCAAATTCTGATGGTTAAAATCATACTTCGTTACCACTGTTTCACTTATTCATCACATTACAAAAGTCAAATGCATTACAGTCGTCTTAAAAATATTTCTATTTTAAAGGGTTATTGTAGTATTCATTAACATTTGAACCAGTATTAATGTTGTGCTTGTTTTTCTTTGTCTAGGATCACACAATCTGAATGGTGTCGCAGATGCTGCCTTACACACATCCTCCACAGCTGCTGCAGAGAGCACAAAGAGAGGCAATTCGTACTGTCACAGTGTTAAATTGGCCTTAAAGGAGCACTACTTAACACGGACACCATCAACACGGACTCCTCTAGAGAAGCTCCCAACTGATGAGTCCTCAAACTACACAGTATCCTTCACACCCTCTGCTGCCAAGGGCTTGAGCCCGCTGGGCCTTTCCAAGAAGACCACAATCAGATCCATTTCACCATGATAGAACCTGCGAGCATCCCTGGGCTCACACAGGAGTGTTTGACTCAGCAGAGTCCCACCTGTCCGGGCTGCTTTATTGAGACCAAGGATTTGTCCAATGTGGAGGCCAGTATCAACCTCAAAATGGCTGATATGACCCGGGACTACACCACCTGCCCTATCTCTGATATTAACATTCAATGTATGAGCACAAGTGAAACCGTAAGCTATGGAGAAGCGCTGCTCTCGGATCAGCTTTTGAGCTTTCCTGTCCCCAAAACCCAGCTGGTAGAGAAGAAGGACACAGAGAAAATAGACTTAGATGACCCAGCCTCCAAAAACCTGTATGAGGGACTGCTATTAGACAAGTGCAATGGAGACGATGGCTTGCTTACCAATCCAAATCAGGACTGGGGATATTTTGAGTCCTTCATTAGCGAGAGCAAGATGGAATTGCTGGATCTCTGCTCCAAGAACGAGTTATCCGTAAATCTCTTCTCTGAAGAGGACGTGGGCAATTATATGTTTGATGATGATGATGACTCCACTCTGAGCAGTGACGTGTGCTCGCTAAAGATCCGCTACGAGTCCTTCCAGGACAACATGAGGGAGAAAACCAATGTTCTGCAAGAAGAAACCCAGTTCAACTTTTTCCCAAGTGTTTTGGTAAACTGCACAAAGAAAGAAAGTAGTGGGGTAAAGCGAGTTGTGGATGATCTACCGCCAAAATCAGAGGAGCTTGGATTCCAAAATGACAGCAAAGGGGATGAAAACGACTGCTCCATAGAGCAGACGCCCGACTACAACCCCAAAATGAACTACTTCATTGATTCAAGCAACTCAGCTGAAGACTCAGGGGAGTATAGTGATGACAGCTCCTCCACCATTTCCTCTCTTGACACCTTCCAAGACAACAGGCCTAAAAGCTTGTTCTCACGAAAAAACGCGAGCTGCTCAAACCCTCTGAACTATGGATTGCGGGCCAAGAGAAAAGTTAGGTATAGTGATGACTACTTGTATTATGTTGAGTCCACCGATGGGGAAAGAAACATTGAAAAGCGAGAGAAACTACCGATTGGTCCAAAACAAGAAGAGGATCTTGACTGGTGCCCTAAAAAGAGACGAAAATACTCGCGCAAGGATCCGCCTGTAATCATCAAATACATTATCGTAAACAGGTTCAAAGGAGACAAATGCATGGCTGTGAAGCTGGGCAGAATCGAATCAGTCGACACGACGGTAAGCTTAAATGAGGATAAAATCAACAAATATGAAAAGCTTGCACCTCTGAAAGATTTCTGGCAGGAGAAACAGAGAGAAAGAGAGGAACAGCTTAAGCTGGCAGCAGGAGGTAAACACAATTCTCACCATCATGCCTTTAGTTCAAGTCCCTCCAAAAGAAAATTCAAGCTAGCAAACAGGCTTAGAATTCAGAGAATTCATACTGTGGAGCAATCACCCAACACACAGGGCCCCTTTGCCTCTGATCCCAGGCAGGAGGTTTCTTCCACAGATGAAACTGCCTCCATGGGAATGCCATTAACAATAGCCACCAGCTGCGCAAGCACATTAGACCCCAATGACATCATACACACTGCCACCCGGAAGAGCAGATCACAAGAGAGGGAGGAAGGCAGAATAGGAAATAAAATATTCAGAATACACAAATTCAGAAGCGAAGCCAGACTTAGAAGCAAGAAAATGAGAGACCTTGTGGAGAATAGCGAGAGCGTGACAGACCTGACAGAAGTTTGCTCGCTGCAGAAAAACATGGACGCAGTGGGAGTTGCTGAAGATGAAAACGTCAGCCCAGCTGCACACAGTCCCCATTTGTGTGAGAGTCAAACAGCTAATGCCTCTGAAAAATTTGCTTTTGTCACTACCACCTGCTCCCCGAACAAAGGCGAGGCATCGTCTGAGAATATGGCTGCAAGTGTTTCCGTTATCCCAGGGGGCTACCTGCAAACATTGTTAGATGCCTCTGATTCATCAGGTAGCACTGGCATCCAGTTTTTCCCTCAGCAGACCCACCACTCACTGGATCTCTCTTTGGAAAAGCAGCAATTCACCTCAATTCAGCTTGCACAAAGTTGCGTCCTTTCTCCACCGTCAGAATCTGAGCTCCAACAGTCACCCCAGAATTGTCCAACTCTTGCCCAGATGTGGCACCCGCAGCTTGGCCCCGACCAGCAGTTTGGTGAATCTGCGATCCAACCCAACAGCTTCACCGGAGAGATGGCTATGCCAATGTCTGGGAGTCTGACTGTGTCAGGCTATAGTCAGCTGAGTCTGGAGAGCAACAGAATGCTTTATGAAAAGAATTACATGCCTGAGCAGCCGTTGCCTCCGGATGCTGAGTTTCAGACTTGTCAGGGGCAGCCGCAGTTTCAAAGAGCCACACTGCACACCGACAATGGCCGACTCATCAGTTTCGACTCGGTTGGCTCGTTGTCAGCTACTTCTAGCAATTACAGCTCTCTGAGTCTTAAGTCCTGCGAGAAGGACGGTGAGGATGATGTGAATGAGAACTTTATGGCCCACTGCAGTCCCAAACTGGTGATTCAGCAGAGTGTCGAAGCTATCACACCCCTGAGGGAGTCCACAGACTTGCTGGATATCTCCAACTTCACTCCCGATAAATTCAGACACACATCATTGTCAGAACTCTCGCCTCCAGAGACACCCAACTTATCCCCTCAAGTGATGGGCCGTGAGATGAAGATAGCTGGCAATGCCACTGACCTCCAGGATGGGGCTAAGATGTCTTGCACCAAAGACGTGGACTGGAACTGCAAAATGATCGAGCAGCGAGATCTGTCTGGGTATTCAGTAGATGGTCATGAGTATCAATTGCACATTTTTAACGGTGAAGACAACTTGAGCCTGGGGACGAAGGAGGATAATCTACCTGACTTCGATGGTGATATGATGAGTGCAATTAAGGGGACCAAGGCAAAAAGGAAAAATGCCAACAAACAAACTGCAGGGCAGGGTACCAAAAAGAGCAAGGCCCCAAGAGCTCCTAAGGCAGACAAGGGCAAAATTCCACGTCAGACATCAAGAGCGTCTAAGAAGTTAAAGGCTTTACTTGATGATAAAGGCCAGACTGAGGGCGCTGCTCATCCACCACAGGACAGCGGCTCTGAGGAATGGACAGGAATAGTTTGTTCAGAGAGCAAAAGTCAAGCCCACGATGACCAGCGAGAGTTTGAAGAGCCATCCAACATCTTGTCGAATATTGTCTCAGGGATGGCCGAGGTACAGAGATTCATGATGGCCTCTGTTGAGCCAATATGGGGCCCGGCAGCAAATGTCTGCTTGCCCTCAGAGGCTAACAGCCTCAAGTTAAAAACTCTCAAAATCCTTGCGGGAACTTCATCTGACCCGAAGAAGAAAGGCACCTGTGGGGCCAATGGGGGCACAAAAGGCCGAAAAGGTGGGACAAAAGGTGGCAAAAACCAGGCAAAGTTAAATGCCTCCCTGCCTTTTTTCCCTCAGTTGGCTTTGGGCTGTAACGTGTTTGACAAGCCAAGCCTTGGCGTTCCTGGTGTAAACGGGCCTGCGCACAAAAAGATGTACCGTCACAAAACCAGTGCAAAATTCCCTCGGATTGAAAATCTAAAGGGCACGCGACCAAACTCAAATAAGGACATATCATTAATGGCGTCTTTTGAGAAACTGAGGTAATATTTTATATCTAGCTGCTGATGCACGTTCCTCACTTTCCCACTTCCTCCTCATTTCTTGACTCAAGACCAGAGATGCATGGATTTACGTTATTCTTTAGTACCCCCTCCTTCTTTTTGCCCCCCCCGAAGAGGATATTGATATCTTGCATGAGAAACTTCTTGTACTCGCAAACTACCTATTGATTGATTGTGCAAGGCTTGATTTGAGATTTTAAATGACCATGGCTGCATTTTTCTTCTGCATTCTTGTTTTTGCTGTTTTTTTCTCCCCCCTCGCAGTTGCTGATTAGTTTTTGTCTGAAGAAAAGGAAAAACTTTGTTAAGTGCAAATTCTCTTTTTGGACCTTTTTTGTTTTGTTTTGTTCAGTTCTCGGCGAATCTTGCTGCCCTCATGTAATTATATTTCTCTCTTCAAACATGTAGCTATTAAAATGTCTTTGTGTGAAACAAGCTCCCGATTTGATTATGTATGCTGAAACAGAAGCCCTCTCGACTCTTTTTACCCTTTTACTGCCTGACTTTTTTAAGTGTGAATTGCTCAGCCCCTCGTCTAAGATAACAACATCCTTGGTATATCCCGAAACGTTATCAGCACACAATGGGACCATTTTGTATCGAAGACATATCAGATTAATGTTGTTCTAATTACTTTCTTACTGTTGGAATGTACTTATGATTTTCTCTTATTACAGGAGTTGTACTGGAAAATGTTTAAATGGACATTTCTATGCCATGGAAATCTCCAAGTGCTTCATTTTTGATTTTTTTGGTTTTTTTACAGTATATTTACTGTATCACTCTACAGAAATGCACTCTTTAAAATGAATTTGTGTCCCAAATATAAATGACCTGTGCCCGTTTATAATCCGAATGAATGCTGGCTGTTCTCTCAAGACTTGACAAGATCTGACATTTCGTTTTGGTTGGTTGTTTTGTCTGTTTTCTTTGGGCACCCTATCGTTTGAAGAGCACCTGCAGCTGACAGTGGTACAACCACTCAACCAAAACAACTAAACTCTGAACTTTTTTACTTTTCCCACCTTGCTTGCCAAACTCAATGTACCTCTTCTGCTTAGAAACAAAAAGAGAAGAAAAGATTGACTTCTAAACATGAGAAAGGTGGACGCTGTATGGTATCAGTTGGTAAGCAATCATTTCACATCTACCGTGACAGGGACTGGGAACATAATGTTCCATATTTTGCGTATTTGTTGAATAGAAGACTTTGATAATTAAGAAAGTGTAAAGGATGCCTCTTTTCCTTCAACCCACTTTTTGCCATAAATGTTTAAGTATCCTGTGTTGACAATTTCATCTGGCAACAAGTACATTTTGATTGGACATGCTGTTTGTTTTTTTGTTTTTCATTTGTGATTTGTTCAGCCTAGTTCGTTTTAATAGTGGAACACATTTGCTTTGCTTTTGTTGCAGAATTTCCACCTTTGAAACCAAATTGGTCCTTTCAAAAGCACATTGGCATTTTACCACATATAGATTTATAAATGACCCCTTTGATTTAAAAGAGTTGATCTAGGAGGATATCTCAGGTAAAGTAATGCCTTACATATAGCTTTTACCTTAGAAAGATTTCACTCCGCCACCCCCTCCGGGCCAAGTTTAGCACCGGGACGATGCTGATGGGAAACTGCACATGGGCCGCTCGCCCGATTTGCCTGCCTTCTCTCATTTCTGCCTGTTGTCAACTTGAATGTACTTCTAGTTTTTTACAATGTGCCACTGTTAAGCTGCCTCCTCCTACTGGTGCTAAGAAGGTAATTGATGAAACAAGGAATATTTGAATCGAAAACCCCTACTCCTCTCTTTATGAATGTACGATATATGGTTCTGTTTGATGTATTCACGACACAACTATTTGTCATTAATTGGAATTGCTTTTGCCTTTTTGTTGGAGAAATTATCAAGCTTTATAAATATTGTCTAGAGTTGATACCAGAGGGACTCTCGACGTCACGAAAAAATTGTATATTTTTCTCTGTGCCAATTTGTAAGATATTTTGTAAGTGTATATTTTTCTTAGAAAGTGCTGTGAAGTATTAGTATGTGTGTGCGTGTGTGCGTGCGTGTGTGTGTGTGAGTAACCTTTTTTGTGCCTCTGTAGGCAGTGAAAAGGATGTATAATGACAAGCTTTTTGGTTTTAAAAACCAAAATATTGCTAAACAAAAAATGAAAAGGATAAAAAACCTTTTGTTGCAAGTTTTGTAAGAGGAAAAGTATCTTGTTGTGAGAGTGTTGTGTTATTGTGAAAAACACATATAGGCAAAAAAGTTCAGACAAAAATTGTGAATTATTCGCTGTTTTATAGATTTTCTTGTAAATTATTCTTGTATTATTTTATGTTGTATCTGTTGCAAAGGTTTTAAATATTTGTGATCAAGCCTGTATGGTGAAATGTAATACTGGTAACTTGCTGAGTTTTGTAATAATGTTTATGGAGTACATATACAAATTAAAAGAAGATTTTGAATGCTGCCTTTTGAATGTTGTCACATTTCTCCCATGACTGTTTACATGTGAACAAAGATGACGATAGGTGATGTCATTGTTTGAAGGTTAAGTTAAGTTTAAGTGTTATTAGGGCTGTCAAACGATTAATCGCATCCAAAATAAAAGTTTGTGTTTACATAATATATGTGTGTGTAGTGTGTATAATTATTTTGTATATATAAATACACACGCATGTATTTATTTAAGAAAAATTTGTTATTAACATATCAAATATTTATATTTATACTTAATATTAATTATGTATAAATATATATACATGCAAATATTTCGTAAATATAAACATGCATGTGTGTGTATTTATATATACAAAATAATTATACACACTACACACATATATTATGTAAACAAACTTATTTTGGATGCATATATATATATATATATACTGTAGATGTATATATATGTTATCACGCTTATGCATTCAATGGTACTATATGTCAGCGTATGTTAAAGTATATGTTGGCATATAAAGTCCTAATTTCTAATCATTTCTTATAGGGGACATTATAGGCCTCTGTGTTGTAATAATGTGACATATCTCCAAAACGCTGCAGTGATGGTTTCATATGAGGTGTGCATACAGTGTGGGACATCCCTATAAGAACTAGCCATTGTTTTTTCTACTTAGAAATTAAGTCTTTATAGGCATCTGAATGTGACGTATCCCCAAAATTGTGCAGTTATGGACATAGTATGGGACATGTGCAATAATAACTGAGTCAGTAATGCATTGCGTGTAGGCTATTTAGTTGTTATTCCAGGAAAGTAAAACAAATGAAATTGCAAAAAGAGGTATTTTGAAAGAGTAAACTCTTTAAGTTGTCTGCTTTTTGCAAATAATTATGCTGTGGTAATTATGTAATCTCCGGGACCTGTACCCGATAAGGTCAGGTAAACTCATCACAAACTCCACTCACACTGGCCACAAACTGTGGACATCAGGACGGCGCCTGAAATCACTAACAGTTTCCTCCCACAGGCTATTTCACTCAAACAGTTGAATGCCTTCCAAGTGTAATGCCCCTCTTTTTTGTGCAACACCCTTGTAAATTCATTTAATATTCATATCCCTTTCAGCTGCAGAAAAGTTAATTAACATGTTTGTTTTCTCTCCTATAATGCGCTTCTATGGGGTTTCTAAGCATAGGCCTACTTTAAATAAGTTACAGTAGAATTTTAACTATATAGGACCAAAACTAGAGATCATATTACCCGCTACAGTCACTACATTGGCTACCAGTTGAAGGAATAGGAATGTATTTATTTCCAAGTCAATAGAGTGCCGAAGTGATGATGTCACTTTGTAGGACAACTCGGAAGTTAGTGGCGCATGGGTTTCCTCGATCGAAAAGCTAAATGCATTTTCCCCATAGACTTTTGGAAAATCACAAAAAAATAAGATCTGTGTTCAACAAAGAGTTGTGACCCTTACACGTTTTGTTTATCTTTACAAGTTAATCCAAAATGTATACATTTTGAAGCCTATATAAAGTTTTTTATAAAAAAAAAAAAACACAAGCAGACACAATAAAGTTTAAAAAAAACACAAGCAGGTTATAACTGTGTGTTCTGTGTCATAGATCAAAACGTGAAAATATCTAGAGGCTTTCTTCACCATGCATAGACCTTATTTCAGGAGATTTAGCAAAAACCCATTCAAAAATCCCATAGACTTTAGAGCGACGGAACCGTGAGGGCTAAAATGTTAACTCACGTCCGCGTTTTGGCCTACAGGGTGACGTCAGAACTTTGGCACTCTATGGGGTCCATCAAATGTCTAGTTATTTACATTCGTCACTCTTATCTTCTTTTGTGTTCAGCAGAAGAAAGAAACTCATACTGGTTTGAAACAACTTGAGGATGAGCAAATTATGACAGAATTTTAATTTTTAAGCGGACTATTCCTTTAAGTATGATTAAGTTATCATGCAAAGCATTGTCTGGCCTCAGAGTAGTCCTATTGATCTCGACTTTTAACACCTTATTTTCCAAACCGAAGTCTTCACTCTTCTCAGCAGTTTGTTAGTTGTCCATCAAACATGGATACGGTTCATGGTGGACAGAGCTTTTTCTATAGCTCTGTTGTGGAACCAACTTCCAGTTGAAATTTGGGAAGCACATCACATAAAAAATAGCCTATATACTCGCATAAAGGATTATTAGGAACACCATACTAATACTGTGTTTGACCCCCTTTCACCTTCAGAACTGCTTTAATTCTACGTGGCGTTGATTCAACAAGGTGCTGAAAGCATTCTTTAGAAATGTTGGCCCATATTGATAGGATAGCATCTTGCAGTTGATGGAGATTTGTGGGATGCACATCCAGGGCACGAAGCTCCCGTTCCACCACATCCCAAAGATGCTCTATTGGGTTGAGATCTGGTGACATTGGCGGCCATTTTAGTACAGTCAACTCATTGTCCTGTTCAAGAAACCAATTTGAAATGATCCAAGCTTTGTGACATGGTGCATTATCCTGCTGGAAGTAACCATCAGAGGATGGGGACATGGTGGTTTTAAAGGGATGGATATGGTCAGAAATAATGATCAGGTAGGCCGTCCCGTGGCATTTAAACGATGCCCAATTGGCACTAAGGGGCCTAAAGTGTGCCAAGAAAACATCCCCCACACCATTACACCACCACCACCAGCCTGCACAGTGGGAACAAGGCATGATGGATCCATGTTCTCATTCTGTTCACGCCAAATTCTGACTCTACCATCTGAATGTCTCAACAGAAATCCAGGCACCAACAACAATGCCACGCTCAAAATTGCTTAAATCACCTTTCTTTCCCATTCTGACATTCAGTTTGGAGTTCAGGAGATTGTCTTGACCAGGACCACACCCCTAAATGCATTGAATCAACTGCCATGTGATTGGTTGATTAGAAAATTGCATTAATGATAATATATATATTAAGTTAGCTTGTCATTTGTAATAATCATTGCTGGTTACTTGTTTATTTTAACCCACCTCTATTGTTTAATTTATTTTGAATTGCAGTAAATGTTAATTTTTTGTTGCTAAATGTTCTTTCTGACTAAACCTATCTGTGTCTTTTTACTTTAAGAAAAAATTGTTTCACTCTAATGTAATTATGTTTCTAGTTATATGAATATGTGTATTGGAAGCTTCAATACCAAGGTTAAATTCAGTGTGCGTGCAAGGACAGTTGGCAATAAAGCTCTTTATAACAAGGTAGAAGTATAAAACGACCTCGAAACATGACATCTTTTGATATGATCTCACAGTTCTAGGCAACTCACAGAAAAGCGCTCTGAATACTGTACATAATCCAGACATTAGACTTTTCGAGCGATCAGCGGCTGACGTGAAGCGGTGCAATTTTGATTATTTTTTTTTTTAACTGTGTCCGACTTGAGACTGCGCCGAGAGCTTTTCCCTGTGCTTTTTGCTTGTTTGGCGGAATCCACCGCATGACAACGATTACATCACCTTCAGATCCACTATCAGCATTTTTACAAAAGTAAATTCACTTTTCATGTAGTGATTTATCGTGTCGTGTTTATCAAAAGAAAAAAAAGTAGACGCCACTGCATTGCTATATAGAAGATCTTGACCAAACATGTATGCACCTATTGGTGAAAATAACAGCATAACATTCATTTCCATCAAGAGGTGCATACATTTTTAGTCAAGATCTTGTATTGTCAATGCAAGAGTCCAGAACTCTGTGAAGTCTCTTGCAACACGTCCCAAAGACTCTCATTGAATTTAAAGGGATAGTTCACTTTGAAATTAATTTTTGGTATGTTTTATCTTACCTCAAGGGCATCCAAGATGTAGGTGTCTTTGTTTCCACTGTATTTTCAATTTTGACATTTTTCAGTCAAACCGTTGTCGTCTATCAGTCATATAATGGAGGCTAAGGGGGTCCACCAAAAAGCATGCACAGAGAAGTCAAAATTAAACTTGATTTAATGACTAAATTAAAGGTATTTACTGAGGTAAAAACAATATAAATACTGTTCGTTTTCTCACACAGACCGCTCGTTTCGTGTCTTAGGCCATCAATGTGTACTTACATTTACGAGTCATTAAATCATGTTTAATTTTGTCTTCTCTGTGCATGCTTTTTGGTGGACCCCCTTAGCCTCCTGTGTATGACTGATAGACAACAACGGTTTGACTGAAAAATGTCAAAATTGCAAATACTGTGGAAACAAAGACACCTATTGTACATCTTGGATGCCCTTGAGGTAAGATAAAACATACCAAAAATTAATTTCAAAGTGAGCCCTTTAAGCCTGGACTCGTGTGACCCGATTCATAAGTGGAAATGGTTCTTCATGCTCCTCGCAACCATTCTTTCATAATCTGAGCCTGATGAATCTTGACATTGTCATCCTGGAATATGAACATGATGTGTCTTCCTACATGAATGAAAAACACTCAATTAGGGTTAGAAGAACTGTTGCCAAACATTTAACATAGAAACATAATCACTGCAATAATGATCTAATCACTCTTAAGCATCTGCCTATTTAAATCCTAATAGCAAATCAGCAAAAAAAAAAAAAAAAAAAAGATCATGTTTTTAATACCGCATCTAACTTCATATTTCCTGCACAATGTTTTGAGCGATCAGTTTGTCAAACATAGCTTTTGAATGGACACACACACAGACTTTGACATCAACAATCAAATTACATTTCTTCGCTCTTGCTTTTTAGCGGGTAAGCTCTTTTTTTTTAATTCTATGCACAGTTATGGAATTTCTGATTTGCATTGATTTGACCCAGAACCAATATGTAACCACTGTTCAGATGAGTCACCAACCTCCAGCAGAGAAGCGCTAAATTTGACCCCTTGACAATCAAGAACAAAACATCATCAACAAAAATTCTGAAGAACAACACTGCTATGACAGATGGGATTTTTTTATAGGTTAAAAGGATAGTTCACTTTGAAATTAATTTTTGGTATGTTTTAACTTACCTCAAGGGCCTCCAAGATGTAGGTGTCTTTGTTCCCACAGTAGTTTCAATTTTGATATTTTTAGGTCAAACCGTTCTTGTCTGTCAGACATATAATGCAGGTCTATACGCCTTATTCACGGCAGCGCCATCTTTGATTTTTATGGAGAATGAAAGCGAGGCTGTGAGGGATAGACTTGCATCTCTTCAATGGGCTGAACTGTTATTTAACGTGTTTTCAGATTGTTCTGCTTATGAAACACTGGAAAAATATCTTTCCAAGACATTTCAGTTGACAAAAAACTCCCGACAATGTAAGCTGTGTAAAATTGTAAGTAATCTAGGAGCTTTATATTTAGCTTTTTACAGCGGATGCCATTGGAAACACGGTAAGTCTATCCCTCACAGCCTCGCTTTCATACCTGTCATGGCGCTGCTCTGAATAAGGTCTATGGGGTCCACCTCAAAGAGCGGTTTGTGTGAGAAAACGAACAGTATTTATATCGTTTTACCTCTTGTAACCACAGACACGTCCAAGTGATCTGAGGGCGCATCGGTCTGTACAAGCACTGGAAGTGATCTCTCGTGCGAAAAGTGTTACCCTTCACTGAGAAGATCTAAACATAGTTAAAAAAAGACAGGAAAAAGCCTTCAGATCACTTGGACGTGACTGTGACTACAAGAGGTAAAAACAATATAAATACTGTTCGTTTTCTCACACAAACTGCTCGTTTCGTGTCTTAGGCCATCAATGTGTACTTACATTCACGAGTCATTAAATCATGTTTAATTTGGACTTCTCTGTGCATGCTCTTTGAGGTGGTGACCATAGACCTGCATTATATGACTGACAGACAAGAACGGTTTGACCTAAAAATATCAAAATTGAAACTACTGCGGAAACAAAGACACCTATATCTTGGATGCCCTTGAGGTAAGCTGAAACATACCAAAAAATTAATTTCAAAGTGAACTATCTCTTTAAGTACATTTATTTATTGACATCATTCAGGAATTAATGTTTTTGACTGTTATGAGGATCTTTTTCATTAAATTCTAAGCTTACTGTAATATTAAGGCTAATATTAAATAGGCCTACCCAACCAAAAATGAAAACGTCTGTCATCATTTTCTTGCCCTCATATCATTTAAAACGTGTATGACATTCTTCTTCTAGAACACAAGATATTTCGATCGGACCCAAAGCCTTTTCTATTTAAAATATCATTTTTAATGGTCCACTGAAGAAAGAAATGCATACAGGTTTAGAATGACATGGGTGAGAAAATGTATGTTTGTGTTTAGGAATAATAGGGAGTGAAAAGCAGGTTAGATTTTTGGGGGTATAATTTCCCCTGTTTCTCTTACTTATTTTCTACATAAAATTCATGCCCCAAAATACTTGTACTCCTTAATCACAGTTACTCTGAATTTAGCAATACATTGCTCACAAAAATTGCAGCACAAACACTTGTTTTGTTTTCCAGTACCTACTAGTTTTGTATTATTTCTGAAAGGGTGTTAAGGCGCTGCTAATAACATTGAATCCTTGCAAATATAAAAGTCAGCATCAAACATAAGTTGAAATTGTCTTTTCCTTATTATTGTGACTTATATTTGACTATACATTTAGGACGGGACTAGGTTTGGTGTATGTTAGCACTCATAAATAAGGGGGGAAAGTTAGCTGTAAAATAGCTAATGAATTATAATGGTTTCACTTGACATAATTTTGAGCCTAAATAGCAAATCTGCCGAGAATATTTTTCCTGGTTGATGAATATGTTGATGCTTTTGTTTCTTCTGGTAGCCTATCTTTTTTACAATTTCATAATAAAAGTAAAAGCTCTTGATGTTTAGAAAAGTGTTAGACAATTCATCAGCATGTGAACTTAAAACTGGATTTGTTTTGTCATTTGGACAAACATTTACAAACAGTGTTACATTTCGGTGTTATTTTGTGTAATAATGACTACTAGCCTATATTTAAAGATCCATAATGTTTTAGCAGGATAACTATATATGTTTGATATACAGCTCTGGGAAAAAAAAAATTAAGAGAACACTACAAAATTAGCAGTTTCTCTGGATTTATCATCTGTTTATTCTGCAAATAAAAGCTCTAAATGACAATATTTTTATTTGGAAGTAATGCTGTCAGTAGTTTGTAGAATAAATTAAAAAAAAATGTTAATTTTACTCATTTAGGCCTACATAATAATTCCAGAGAAACTGCTGGTTTTGCAGTGGTCTCTTTTTTTCCCCAGAGCTGTATTTAATATTATCTCTGAGACACATTCACTACTAAAGGACAGTCGGGTGGAGGTAAATATTCAGCCGAAATAAGCAACATTAGGTGACTGTACAGTGATTTATTGAGTTGTTCTTAGGCATGGCACAAGCGCTGCTTCCAAAAACATGCTGTTGTTGACATAACGTGAGTTTCCATTTCAGCGTTAAATAAGGACTTTTAAGTTGTATTACGTTTTCGCACAGTTCCGCACACCGGAAGTAGATTCATGCCGAAGATACGCTTGAGAAAATGTACTCCTGAATAGCTGTCAAGAATAACACCTATAAACATCTACAAGGCAGACAAGGGAACTGTTACTAGATACGGCTTCGACGAGTTCATAAAGGTATTCTTCTGTGTTTTTGCTTATTTCACCAGTCAGTGATTGAGGTCGTCGAAATGACGGAGAGCTCGCTGGCTGTTTTTATCTCATAGCCGTGCTAACATTAGCTTCACATTAGCTTAGCATGAACAAGATAGCAGTTTCTCCATAGGCTTCGCGAGCTAACTTGAGCCCAGCTTGAGCTCATGCTACAGCTAACATTAGCCTTCACCCGTTTCCCCAGTTCTTGGTGTCGAGAGATTTGTCGTCACACATTAAGAAATGTTCAGTTACTGTAATTTTAGTGTGATTAAGTTAGTCCTAGCAGGACTCGCTTCCATTGGTAATGCATTCATTGTGTACTATCGAGGACACACGCATGTTAATGGTTGTTTTCCTTTGAGTTTCCCGAGCTTTAGCCTGTTTAGCTCGCTGATGCCATTTTGTTTTCAGTCAGCTCTTTATATCTGATTCTGAACAGAGAGACTCGAGAGATCAAAGCCTAACTCACAATATTATGTTTTTTTTAAGAAGATTATTCTAGTCACCCAGCACGTTCACGTTTTAATCGTTTATATTAGCTACATGTAACGTTAAAAGACACGTATCCTATAGTAACTGTGGCCATATGATGATGGTGATGCTATCATAGAGAGAAGCTATGGTACTGAATGATTGCTGTAACCATTTATCATATAGTCACATACTTCTCATGTTGGGTTGAATGGAATGGTTTTGACTGGTTGACACTGTGTTGTAGTTGGATCTGACATCTGGGTCGCAGTGATGGAGGGTCAGGATAATGCAGATCAGGGCAGCAGTGATCAGTCAGAAACACAACGCCGGAGACAGCTGGACCGTCTGGACAGAGAAGAGGCCTTCTACCAGTTTGTCAACAATCTCAGCGAGGAAGACTACAGGCTCATGAGAGATAACAATCTGCTTGGCACGCCTGGTAAATCAAATTTTATTTTTATTTTTTCTGTGAAAAACCAAAAAGACATTTTGGTCATGTGTAATAGCGGGGTCATTCCTTGTCAACTCAACCAGAGGTCCCCAGCTCAAACGTTTAATTACGTTCACGTTTTATGTGAAGAAAGTTTAAATGCCATTGCTGAGTAATCCACCATTTTGTAGAGCGGGTTAAAATGGCTATTTTCACCTGTAATTTAAAGCCAAATTACAGTGAGGGGATGATGAGAGCATCATTATTTTCTTATTACACATAGATTGGTAGGTCTGATAGTAATTTGTTGTCTTTAGCAATGTTACATTATATACCAATGGTGACAATTCATAAATGTGGAGATGTATGTTTTTTTTCTTTCAAAGTTCACCTATAACTCATCGGTATGGTTTTAGATTCCCGCTCTTAAACTTTTCTTTTGGTGTCTTTATTTTTAAGGATACTGGGATCTCAATATGGCTTTATGAGTAAACTGTTAAATTGTACACATTTTCAGTGGTCAAAAAATAAATGTGGGTTGAAACTGACTTTGTATACAGATGATTCTTTTTTCTTTTAAAGAAGAATGTCGGCAGAACAGATAATATTAGTCAAATATAAATCTAGAGCACTGAAAATGTGTACAATTTAACCGTTTACTTGTGGAGCTTGGGATCCCATTATCTCTGGGATTGAACCATATAGAGCCTTAAAATGAAGATCCCAAAAGATAAGTTAAAAACATATGAAGAGTTAATTTGCAAAAACAGATAACCCCGTTTTTATTAATTTTCATACATTTTTTTAAAAAAAATTGTATTTCAAAGTAATATCAACCAAACTGTAGTTGGGTTGTTTTGATTAAGTATTAATAACTCATTATACAGGTAACTTTCAAAATTAAAGTTCATTGAAACTTTTATATGCATATAAAACTTAAACTACTTTTCTGTATTTTTTTAATGCAAAAGGATGGTTAAAGTCAGCAGATTTGACTAATAGGTAAAAAATAAAATAATTATGCTGCCATTTCGCCCCCTGTAATCTGGCTCCAAATCTTAAAAAAAAAAAAAAATCAGGAAAAAACAAAACAACGGTCCACCAAAAGCAGAGAGAAGGCAGCAGTTTAAGGAGAGGTCGAAAATTGTTATTTTTACCCCTCTTTACAAAGTAGTGGATTATTTAATAAATATATCCAAGGCATTTGATTTTTTGGCTTTCATCATTATGTATATGAACAAAATCAAAATGTCAGCCTGGTAAAGTTAACTAAATTTGGTTGGTTTGACAGTGAATGTTTATATTTTAATAAGAAATAAATTATTTTGGATTTTAAATTGAATGGATTTTAACCTTTTAATATTCGTGATGCGGTCGTAACACCTAAACCACATGAAGGACCATATTAGTTGAGTGCAGCAGAAATTATAGTTCCTGTTGTCTTTCAGTTAGTGGCTTATAGGAGCAAATATACAGACTACATGTTAGAGTAATTGCCACTGACATTTATTGGTTCCTTTCCTCTCAATATTGAAGTGTTACTGATACTGAAGTATGAATTGCATCCGTTTTGCCTTAGCCACTCATTTCATTTTACTGAGTAACGATGTGGTTTCCCTGCATCCAGTTTTATATTTATCTCTCTCATGAGACTTGCAGAATTCAGTGGTAATTAGTATACGGTCGAACTTCATAGAGGAATTATTGATCCTCTTAGGTCACTTTTTTACTAACATTCAACATGGTCGGACAAAACGGTTCATTCTCAAATGGTTTGATCAATGTAAATGATAATTATTTCACTATTTTAATGTTTTTTGTTGTTGTTGTTGTTTTGAAAGATCAGAGGAGATATTTTACAGAATTTCAGTGCTGGTATTTACCCTGATATTTAGTCAGTCTTGGTGATGATGACCTTCAAAATGACAAAAAAAAGAAACACTGTACTGTAAGAAAGTACTGGGTAATATAAGTTAACTGCATGGGTTAAGGTTGGTTAGGATCAGGGTTAGTGTAGTATTTACCCAGTTATTGAAATTGCTATATAAGTACATAGTATGCACTAGGGCTGCCCGATTAATCGCAATTGTTTGCGTTTGTTTTCTGTATAATTTCTGCACTATTTTTAAAAAAGTTTGCAATAAGCGTTAATCTTCCTACGAACAAAGAAGCACATTAAGGAGAACAAGTGGCAGGTCTATTAATTTACTCTCCAAGACTTAATGCAAATGCATCTGTCATGACATACATTATCGGATTTTTTTGTCGTATTGTTGCTATGGTTATCACTGTCAATAGTTGCATTTTCAGATTCAATCTCACATTTAAATATGCCTGTCAATCCTAGGGCTGTGTTGAAATATCGATTCACCAATTCAGAATCGATTTTCATATTAATTTCTAAAGATCCATCCATAACTCGGAGAATCGATTTATTAATAGGCCTACATTTTCCCCGTGAACTTTAACTTGCCGCGACTGATCCCTATGTGTGCATTTTACTCAGCGCGCATATTGTTACGACAATGGACTTTGATTCATTAAACCGTTCATTCAACGAACACGTTCAAAAAAGCAGATTCATTAAATTAGATTTAATGAAGCAACTTCAAGGTGTTAATTATTTTTAACTTTGAGTTCCACTTTTCAAGGCTCAGCTGAGCAGCAATGCGTCGCATGGGCAACGCCGAAGCTGATGCTTCATTATTTTATGGCATTGATTCAATGCGTGACTCACTGATTTTTCCCCGCGGCTTCCTCGCGCTGTGGGATGCTGATCAGCGCTGCTGCTGACGCGCATTTATGGTAAATACGTGTAACGTGAACGTTAAAAGGATGATTCGACAACTATTTCGCATTCCTTTGACACGGCAAGCTTTCCACGAATACATATGACTTCAAAGACAGACGCAGGTAATCGCACCCGCTCTGCCGATCTCTTTGATTCACTGTCTGTGCGAAGCCTCTGTAGGCTACACATCACCACGATAAACAGTCTCGTTATCATTATGAACTTGTCTAACATTCAATACACATGCATGAAGTTCAAAACAAGAAGGGTATAGCCTTAAAAAAACGTTAATATCACGGTTTCTGCAGTTACTTGCAATCCTCCTGCTGATATACCTCTGCGTCCTCTGTCGTCTACACCAGTGCAAGTTTGTGAAAGCAGTTGTATCAACACGGAAGGGGGATTGTTCTTTACAACAATCAATACTACATCAATTTTTACAAAGTTGAATGTCTATAATAATAGTATCAATATGTTGCATAACTACAGCCCTGTAATCGGATCAAATCGAATACTGAAATTCGATTCAAGATCTTGAGAATCGGAATCGATTTTTGAAATTTGAAACGAAACCCAGCTCTATTCAATCCAGAAATTGCAGTGTGTCGCCAGTAGCATAAGAAATGAACATTTTGAATGGGTTAGCTATAAACAAGCGAGTTTTCCCTTTATAATCACTGAAGCCCTCAAACACGTTAGCAGCTCTGTACTCTTGACGAAAAACCCTGTTATAATCAAATAAGTTGTCTACTGCACATTGAATGTCTTATTTACATTGTGTTTACACTTTGTTGGTTATAATGAAAGGATTTGTGAATGCGTAGAACAGTCAGTGAGGCTTGCTGAACGATCTCCAGCGTTTGGAGCGGCGGCATTGAGTGGATTTTGTCTAACTTAACCTGTTACCTGTCACCCCCCCCCCCTTTTGAAGACATGAAAATGAAAATGCACATTTCAAACTTAAATGATTGTAATTCAAGAATGCTTTGGAATATAGACATATGATTGGTCTTGTTTTAAAGAAGACATTTGGCAGATTTTTGTAGAAGTGAAATAAATTAAGAAAGTGAAACAGAAAAAAAGTTATAGAGGTTTGAGTTTATGGAAATGTACAATGCAAAAATATTAATTATTCATATTTTACATAAAATATATATTTTCAAAACCTGGGCTACTCTAAAACGGCAGAAAAATCAAAGCCAAAAATCTGAACAAGTTGTGTTTCAAATTTTAGGTTGATATCTCAAAAAATGAGCTTTCAGTAAGATTTTGTTTGAGCGCAGTACCAAACTTTTTCACTAGGGCACAATCAGACTCCATTACTGCCCATATAAGAGCGCCTGCATTTCCATTCGTGTTTTGAGTGATATGAACCATTATTTTCACAATTTTCATACAATTTCTGAAGTAGAGATCCTATTCAGAAGTAGCATGGGAAGTTTGGCAGATTTTGATATGAATTGAACCTCTAAGAAACACATACAAAGAACACGCATGTAAGTCATAGCTAGCTGCCACATCACAAATGCTGAATTTATTATTTTTTTCTTGATATTTCAAACTTTTCAGACCTTTTTTTTCCAAAATAATTGAATGGATTCTATCTTTTGAACTTTTGGCATGAAAACAAACTGAGGTATCAACCATTTTTTCATGATTTTTCATGTTTACTGCTATTTTAAAATAAAGGTCTGAACACGCCTTATGAGTATGAAAATATTCTTGTTTTATATTGATAAATTATGGCTCCTCTGTAATATATTTTGAAAATCAGTCACCAAATATGGAAACTAGAGATTGTAAGCTTTCAAATGATATATAGTTTGTCAATATTATTTAAGGTATTTACTAAGATATTATTCTTTTTAAAAATATAGTGGCAAACGTCCCACCTGTGGGACGGTGACAGTTAAGTGGTTTTAAACACCTCTAATTAACTTAAACACCTCAATGTATATTATAATGCAATATAATGCAAAGCGCTATGTAATTGTAAACCTTTGCTGTTCACAAAACGCTTTACACAAAAATGCAAGGGAGCGTCTGCCGTCACTCATTAGAATCATGAGTCTTTATAAGCAAATGTACACAATTTTCCATAAATTTGTATCATCAGCAAAAAAGATGGATATCGTTAAAATTTGACGCATTGCCCAGCCCTAGTGTGTACTGTGTGCTGTTAGAAATCTTCTAAAGCCTTATAAAGAACAGACCAAAG